TACATACTAATGAATTACTGAAAGGAAGGACTAAAACCTGATAAAGATAACAATCTGGACACAAGCAGCACTCAGTCAAGCAGCGCTTTCTCAGCCTGGCTTTGACAATCCCACGCTTCAGTTCAGCTTCCTGGATCCTGTCTCAAGTTTACATGTCTGATCTAGGACTGGACCCACCAGCAGCATCATGCTCTCTCTTAGCAGAGCACAAAGGGTTAGTTCATTTATGACTAATTCATTTTTTTTAATTCTGTCTTTGCTATATGATGTTCTCGTCTCCCACCAAAGCCTATTAATGGTGTGACACTATGGAGGAAGGCTGGGGAGCGCTTATCCTCTGGTGTGAATTCACAACAGCTTCTGTTTCCCTCTGACACACCAGCTTAAGCGTGGCTCCTTGCCTTTCGGGCCTCTGCTAATTCTCTGGCTTCACACTCACTCTGCTCCCATCTCGACCCGTCTGCCCGGGAGCAGAGTCTCTGTGACAGACACTGCTACCTCCCCGACTGCTCTCACATGCTGACTCTTTGCACAAGGATCCCAATCTAAACTTTGCTTAATTTTAACCGATGCTCCTTCCTGTGCTGCCACGCCAGAGCCCCTCTGGAGCTGATGCTTTTGGACAGCCAGATTGGAAAGGGGTGGGGAGGGGGGAACAGGAGGAAAGAGGAGACAGGAAAAATAAAACAAATACAATTGCTTTTTGTCTCTAAAACCCTCTTTTTAACCCAACGAGCGTCTCATCCAATGAAGCATGATAAGCATGAAGTGTTATATAAAGAAGATAATTATAAAGGGATTTAATGCTTGGCAGGCTCGTATCGCAAGGTTTATAGTGGAGGTAGCATACTCACTTAAACAGCCTTGTGTCCGGATTTGCTATTATGCGGGCAGCGCGGCTGGGGCCAAGTGGAATCAGAAACAAGATTTGTTTTACAAAAAAAAAGAGCACAGCCCCCTTCCCACCGAGGATGGCAGCTCCAGTCCCACCTCCTTCCACTTCTGTCCCATCCCTGATTAATGATGTTGTCTGCCTGATTTATGACCCACCCCAACAGATTAGAGTTTCCCTCTTCAACTTCCCCCCTCCTTTCACCCCCCCCAGAAGGCACAGCCACACTCTGTTGGAAATATTAGAGAATTATTAAATAAACATTCATACGTCATGTCTCTTCCCATACTGAGCTCATCGTAGTCAACGCTCAGCGGCCAGGTCCTGTTTGCTTTGGGGCTGACACCAAACAGCTGGAGTGATTCATGGAGAGGCTGGCTACAATGCTCTGTGCCATATATCATGCTCGGAGCGCTCCCTGCCCCGGTGGAGATAAACTGATCAACCACAACGGGCTGGAATGAATTTATGACAACACAAAATTGAGGAAAACAAATGGGAGGTGACCCAGTGGGCCACTAACCCAGACTCTCTCGCTGGCCTGCAATCTAGTCTGGTGGCAGAAAGCAAAATTGAACATTGGCACTCTGAATTAAGATGCTGGCTTTTAACCCCGGGGAACCTCGGTTTCAAAATGGCACCAGACCCTCGCAGGCGGCATCTCGGGAGGGGGAGGAAGACTTTTTGCTGGGAAGGTGCTTTCTGCAGCTCTCTGCGAGCTGAGAGCACAACGTGGTGGAGGAGTCGGGGAGGATGCGTGGGCAGTTAGGAATCAGCAATTAAGGGCCAGTTGCTTTCTCTGAGCAAAGCTGCACCTTGAGTTGAGGCAAAGGAGCATCGCACCAGCTGAGCTCAGCCCGTCTGCTGAAGACCCCAGCCACCACCTTCATGGCGATGCTCCTTTGCCTCTCCTCATCAGCCTTCAGCACCCCAGGGTGTCTCTCCCAGACACCTCACATTGGCGAGATAAGAAAAGCTGAGACACCCCGCAGTGCTGGGAAGGAGAGGTGGAACCAAGTACCACCTCTCTCATTACCTGTGGCTGCCATCTGAAGTGCAACACAACGCAGAGAAGGTGAACCCGCTCAAGCTATCGATGACCTGGCACAGCACAAGGAACAGGGTAACAAACACAGACCTACCCCAAACCTCATCTAGTCATTCTACTTTCAACAAAAAACTAAGTTTAGATTAAATTAACTTGCTCAAGCAAAGAGCTTCAGCTGTATGCCAAAAAGATAACCACTTGCTGTACTGTATTAACAGATTAAAACCCAACCAAACAAAACCACATCACTCTCCTTGTCTGGACTTATTTTTGGAAGAGGGGAGGGGGAAGGAACGTCATTCGTATGAGAGAAGGATCAATACGTGGATCGCTGCTAACTCTATTAGCCGCTGCTCTAAACAGAGAGCACAGCTGACACAGGTGGTAAGCCATGTGCTTCTGGACACTTTTAAAAATGCTAATCAGATGCTACACAGGGTTTAACATGCCAATCAATAACGCTCAGATTTAAAGGCAAAAATTAAAGTTACAAACAATGGAGTAAAGTGATGCTGCCAAAAACTTCCTGTAAGCGCCACCCAAAACAAGAAAAATGAAACCAATTTAGCTCCAGATTAAGAAACAGGAACTAGAGATGAATCAATTTAGCCTGTTGGGCTGGGTCGCCATATATCATGGCTCAGCAGTGGAGTGGGAAGCAGCCAGACAGTATGAAACCCTGCCCCCTCCTTTTCTGTAGGCTTCTAGCTCTGATCCCTGTTATCAATTAATTTAACAGAACCCCTCTACACAGACAAGCACATAGAGCATTCAGACTCCTTAAATGGCAGGACAGAAACTATTTATCACGCACGAATCTTAAAGGAAAGGAGAGGAGAAAAAAAAAGCAACTAGGAATTCTCCACCTGAAACACCATTTTGCTTTTTGAACCTTGGTGAAATAAAGCACCTTAAATAAAAAGCTCTCCCTGCTACTTTAAAAAAAAAAAAAATCAACATTATTGGAAAGACTCTGCAAGACACTTAAGGCTTTTCCTGTAATTTCTATTGGGTTTTGGTGACTTTTTGCACCTTCTGCAGAACTGAAGCTTTAGCGGGGCAAGGTTATTGCAGAGCAAGGTGTGCACGCATACATATGCATGCACACATGCACACACACACACACACTCTTCCCGCTTCACAGCGGTGTTAGCACGAGCATTGTTTGGAAAGGATTCTGGGATCCTTCAAAAGGTGCTAGCTAAAGCCTCTTTGATCAGATTATTAAAGCTATGTCAATTTTATCACTTGAGCTCAAGTGTTCTGGAAAATGTCAAATCCTTTCAGCTCCTGCAGTTTAAAGATTTTCAATAGGAGTGGATCTGGGAGGGTGGAGGCCTGCTGGGCTGACAGGCAGGAGGCCCAAAGGGAAGCCAAGCAGCAGCTGAGCCGGAGGCTGACAGATCAGGGCAGAAGGGATGTGTGCATCCTTGAGTCTCTGCCACCAAGACAGCACGCAACGGTCAGCTCACTCTAAGGACAAAGATGCTTCTGCACTAACCTGCGAGCTCCTAAACTCACTGGTCCTTGGCCAAAGTCTGCTCACCGAGAGGCACTGACCAGCAGACAGCCCACGTTTGGGACAGGCTAATAAAAAAAGCCTTGTAAAGTGCCGAGACAGTGGAGCAGTGTTAAACTTTCCTCTGCAGCAGGGAGTCTCTCCAGTTAACCCCTGACTGTGAACATATGCTTTGCCAGGCTGCCTGAACTGTCAGAGATCCTGAAATGTGCCAGGGACACAACCTCTCAAGTCAGGACCAGGGGCAGGAGGAGAACAAACTACATTAAAAAAGCCAAACTTTCTATAAAGTCAGTTGAACGCTACCACCTGATTTTCTTCCCCATCTCAAATTATCAATGGACCTCATCTCCAAAATGTAAATGCCATCTGTTTAAAACCCACGATTACATCTCGTTGCTTCCACCTCATTCAGGCAGTTTTGTCTCTCACTTGATCTTGGGGCAACATTTTATGTCAGGTAATAATCAACTTAAAACACTGCCCCACCCCTATTAATGCAGTCCATGGCAGCAGTGAAGAGCCTGTAGTTTTAGGCTTGGATCGTCAAATCTGCCTCAGCAGTAAGTCACTCTAGCAGTGTGTGGAAGGAGGCTGAGGAGAGAGGTTGTTACTCAAATGCACAGTGCAGATAAAACCATTTGTTTCTATCCCGAACCAGGCTGCAAGATATCCAGAGAGCAGAAAGGGACAGGAAAGCAGATGGCCTGGAGCCCCTGCACTACTGTATATTCAAACACTGGGACTTAAACTTCTGAATCAACTTGAAGGGCTGCAGGTAAAAAAAACCTCAGGAACTGAGACATCATTTCTATTAGCAACCATACAAAGGTAAAATCTGGATCTTAAGGGAAAGGAAATTCTCTCAGTGAGGCTTCTGCCAAGTTATGGGGCTGCTGGGATTCTCTTTTGCTGGAGAGATGGAGGGTAGAACATATGGGTACCATGCAGAAAACAGAATAGAAACCATGTGAAGAACTGCCCTCAAAAACCAAGATGCAGCAATAAGGTAACTTCCCCAGTAAAAGCAGGATCCCATGACACATTGATAGCAGAAATCTTGCGGGGGAATCAAAAAAGTCAAAGCACAGTTTGACAAGTTAATTGCTTTTGTCAGGTTGAAGTGGGTTTGAACCTTCACCTCCCGTTCAACGTCCCAGCTCTAGTCTAGGCTGTTATGCACCACACAACATATTTGAAAACCCGCCGTAACTAGAATATGGTGGAAAGCATGGATACATCTATTTACATATTTTAAAAGAAAGCAATTTGCAGTGGAGAAGCCCTTCGGAAGCTGCACTCAATTCCTTGTCACTGGGTACCTGCCCATGCAGAAACCTGTCCCTCTGTGGACACAGCAGTGGCAAGTCAGGACACCAATAGCTCCAAGTACAGGCTTCATTTGGAGCACAACTTCCCTTCTTGGTGGTAAAAGCTTCAAACATGCCTACCCTCAGACTAGCACTGCTTCTGGGAACACCAGATGGGATGCTATGGTTCCTTAAAACAAGAAAAGTGAAAGCCATCCACTTTACACTCACTTTTCAATGTCACTGTTCTTACAGGTCTTCTGCATGGTCTCCTGTTTACTGCTTTCACCATTACTCGTTGAGGGCATTTCTGTTGAGGGAAGAACAGACAAGTTAGTAAGAGAACATTTGATCATTGCAATGAAATAGTCTGAGCAAGTTACAGTTTGAGAAGCAGAGGACCCTGATGAGTCATTTTCATGCTGATTCTCAGAAAGAGAGAGGAGACAAATGCTATGTGTCCCTGTCTAGCAGGGAGGCCCTCTCTGGACAGCATGTTTCTATGATTTGGGGCTGAAGATACAACCCTCATCCTCTCCCCACTTCATACTGACTGACCCTTGCAGACGTACCAGTTGTTTAAGCTAGGATTTAATTCAGAAAGGTCTGATGCAGCTGTCACGCCAAAGTGTACTTCTGGAGCCTGGAGCAAATCCACCCAGCCCAGACCCTGCTCTCAGCCCCTTCCTTTTTCTGAGACCCCTCAGACACGGAGAAAAAATATACGCCAGGTAACTAGTACAACAGAACCATATGCTCATAGCTCTCCTCTACCAGCAGTCCCATGGCTCCTCCCAGCACTGGAGGGGATGTGAGATACCAGTCAGAGATGAAGGAGATGAACTGTCCTGGGGCCAGCCCCTGGGCTGTAGGTTCAGCACCTACACGTAAAAGGTTATGAAGAAAACAGCTCACAGCAAGTGCCATCATGGCTGCTTCCTCATCACCTCTGTGGCTGTAGTTACTGAAGCTGAACACACCTAGAAGTGAGTGCTCCTACATCACAGAAAATAAATGTGATTGCCTATCCCACAGAAGGAAATGCCTGCAATAGATATCCTATGCTCTCCATTTAATCATCATGCCCTTGGCAAAACTGGTTCCACTCACCCCCCCCCCCCGCCACTGGCAAGCAGTTGTGTCTTGTAGGTACTTTAAAGGCTGGGAAGCAAATGCCCAAAGCATTACAGTAACAGAACAGGGAACAAAATCATTGGGACAAGTCTCTTCAGGTCGCTGAGCTTCAGTTCCCTTCCTAAGGGAGCTGGAGCAGCACTGCCCAGCTCTGGAAATGGATTTGGCATCTACAGCTGGAAAATGCCAGGTTTTATTATTCTCATATTTCCACTAGGTTGCTGCTTATACTTCCAGTGCTGCTGGCATTAAATAAAAAAATCCAGCAGTTGAATTAGTTTAACACACCCCCCCAATGCTATGAGCTTTCAAATAATGCACGCAAAGGTACAATTTCACATTTGCTTGTTTGCTCTGGAGTTCCAACTACAGGTCACGAAGTAGGATAGATCTTACAGTTCCCTTCTTGCCATGCAGAGGCCAACAAGGACAAGATCTACCCAGCAGATCATGACACAAGTCTCTAGCATACCCTTTTAGAGAAGGGAAGGTGATAAGAAAGCAGATGAAAAACCCCCAAGCAACAGGTGCCTGTATAGTTTAAACCCTCAGCGGCTGAATGCCACCATCACATAGTCAAGCTCTGATGGCTCCCTCTGATACAGCAGTTTGTCTTTTAGTGACACAACAGCAAGTCAATCCAACCCCTATCTCTTATCACCACACCCCTGGAGGCTGCATTTTTGGGAACTCCCCTGGCTGCCACTGACTACAGTTAATTGTGCTGTAAAGTTTCAAAAAGATAGCATGATTGTATATGCATACATATCTGCTGGTACTCTGTGAGAACATTTGTAACTACCGTTTGCCTAATTACTGGCAATCAGAAGATATGGAATATCTATCTGCCCTCCCGTAGCATACAAATTAATAATTTACAAGTTCAACACTCACCGTCACTGGCCCATTTAGAAAACTCCGGTGTTATTCGAGTACTGGGTGTGCCACCACTAAAAGAGAAAAGGGCAGAATGCTAAAGATTGAATGTGGAAAATTTTGCTGCTCAGGAAAAGCCACCCCTTCCACCCATCACTTCTCTCTCAATACTTCTATCCATCAGTCTAGGCTTCAAAATGTGAGTGGCTGGCCTGCTGCAGGAGATGTTTTTGTGCTAGTCCACATTTCCACCAGCGTTCTCCCAACCTGCACTTCTAGTTGTGACCTTTGCTCCATCACACAGGGGTTGTGATGCTGACTGAAGGCCTGGGATTCAAACAGCACCTGTGACCTGCAGTTCATTTTTGAATACGCAGTTTCAAAGATGAAAACCTTACTCATGAACAGAAATCCTCTGTGCTGCAATAGTTTCTCCCTTTAAGAATAACTTTACGCCTTCACAGGCCCCATCTTTTCCATCTTCCCACGTGAACAACAGCATTGAAGTAAGACAATTCCTAACCCTGCCCATTCTCTTGCAAATCAGTAACAGAGACTGTAAGAGAAAGGAATCTTCCGAGAAGGCTGCACACCTGTGAGTGCATAATGTTTTAGCTCTATGAGCTAAGACAGCTGCACTCAAAAGGTAATGCAGGCTCATGCTTCAGGGCATCAGCCACTCTACTGCATTTTTACAGAAACTTGCCAGAATTGCAAAGTGTTTTTACAAGCAACATCATCTCTCCTGTTTTAGAGATAGGCAAACAAGTCCAGGAGATGTGCTGTTTGCCCAAACAGTAAAACAATGTGCTCGGTACAAGCCATGTGAAGGAACTGGGTCTGCTGGCCTCAGGTCATCAGTCATCTCACCAAGCATTAAGTGCCCACAAGGGTACAAGGGATACCCTGATATCCTCCTGCTACAATAGCACTTTCCTGGCTGTGAAGGAGCTTCAGCATCTTTGAGGCCCTGCTAACACGTGGACTAGCATGGTTAGCAAAGTATTGAACGGACCAATGATTTGGATCCAGTGTGGCAAATGCCACTTTTCTATGGAGTGGAACCCAATTTTGAACTAGTGTTTGTGACAGGCTAAGCAGTAAGAAAACTTCATTTCACTGCTCTATCAATCACTTCAACCTTGACCTCACAGGATCACTCAGTGAAAGAGATAGAGGGGTAATTCAAGCCCTGTTTTATGCAGGGCAGAGGGCTTAGAAAGCAATCCTACCTCCCTGTTAAGACTCATTTTATTTGCCTGAAATGCTTCCCCAAGTGCCCTGAACACTGACTGCCTACATTCTCCACACTATGTATGTGGGCAGAGCACACATCCTGCCCCCACCCCAGAGCCAAAGGCAGAATTAGTTCGTGCATCCCACAACACGTAATGGAATGCAATGAAATCACACCCTGGGTGTCAGACTCCTAATGTGCCAAACAAGGTTCGGATGGCATCACATTATACTACTGGCCACATTTCATCATGAAGCAAGATGATGCATAAGGCCTTAGTACGGCACAGTTTCCCCATCACCAGAATTCACCTTCTGTCCAGCACTGCTCAGGGAGAAGACAGCACTGGGGTGGTTACAGGAGGGAGACTGTGCAGGGAGGCTTTATGAGGCTGCACGGGTAGAAACAGAAGGACAGTGTGACAAGTGGGTCTCTTTGTAAGACACTCTCGTTGCAACCCTTGCGCTCAAGTGAACGGGTATTTTCCACAAATTGAGATTCCCCAAGAATAACGAAAGCAAATTAGAAAGGCACAGTACTTACTTTAAAACAGCACCTCGGAGCGCTTCCCTCTCTTTGGCTTCACCTGGCTCTTCCCCAGTGCAAGGGATAACGTCTGCCTCTGTGTACCTGAGCACAAGGGGTTAAGGAACATACAGCCTTGCTGCGGACAACGGAAAGGCTTTTGAAATGGTTGGGATACTATCTGGGATACAGAACAAATTCATTGCAACTGGGAACACCTCAAAAGAACAGAGGCTGGTATCCATGGAGGGGCTTGTGTTTAAATCCTGGATTAAAATTTTATTTTAAGTAGAAAGAAACAGAAAAGTCTTTTGACAGCAACACGACACCACAGCCTCTTAGAAGAGGAAAACCAGTCCCTCAACCTCTGGAAGCCTAACTTGCACAATGCTACTATTTCTGTTTGAGGTACAGAGAGCTTTTACCAGCTCAGAGTTGGGGCTTCAATCTTAAAGGCTGGTACAGATTTCAATAAAATCTAATTCTATAGCTATACATTCCCCCTCATCACAGCTAAGTCAATGTCTGCTTCATACCCTTGCAGGAATTCCTCCTTGGGGGCTGTACAGCTGCTGCAGGGCAGAAGTCTGTCCACAGCTCTCCCAAAGCCTGGCTCCCAGATAGAGAAGCTCCCCAAAACTGCCTTTAATGATAGCTCTGCCCACGAGCTGTCTAATGAACGGAAAAAAATTCAGTCTCTCAGAGTGGCAGGTGAATAGTGCTTGAAATGTTTACTGCAGAAACCCCCTGAAAACAAAGGAGTGTCTTGTGGAAAATAAACTCAATTCCTACCCATGAAGCAGGAAAAGCTATCCTTATGGAAGAAACGTGGATGGAGACGAGATTGCTGATGAATCAGAATAGAGAAACACTAACTTTGATCTCCTGCAAGATCTCCTACAGACTTCACCAACTGAGTCTGAAGTAGTGCTGCATCAACAGAGGATCTCAAAGGCAGCAACTGGAAATCCCTCCTAGTTCAAATAACACGGGAACTGGGGAAGGCGGTGGCATTTCCAGTAGGGCTGGACACAGACTACCCCCCACTACCCAGGGCAGCGCTGTATGAAAGCTTGCTGAAGATGCAACTCCAGGTTCCCTCTCAGTAAGAGCCTTTCAAAAACGATACTGTGGTTTCCCGTATTCAAGTGTGTCATCCCCATCCACATCCAGGTCAGCGTCACTGTCTGGATTCTCCTTGCCGCTACACATGATAAACCCAGAACCTGGAAGAAAATAAAACACGTGGATGAGTATTTGAATGGGAGACGAAGCGAAGGAGATATCCTAAGGATGGTGAGACAGCACCAGTCTGCAGGCTGTCCTTTACTCTCAACGGCCTCACAACAGGTACCGTCTCTAAAGACTGCACAAGGACAATTTTCTGAAGACTGCACAGAAAACACTCACAGAAATGGATGCTTGATTTTATGCTCTAAAATGACCCTCAACACTGAAAGTGAAACATTCTTGAACTTTTGGTCTCCACGCGAGTTATTTGAAAGTTGAAGGCATTGGAAGTGCCTCTCTCAAAGGCAGAAAAAGAATGAAGTAAAATAGAGTGCTTTTTCATGGAAGTGGTTAACACAAGAACTATACTACTAGCAGATAAGAGAAGGCCACAAGGACATCCTGAGTTAGTCCTTACTTCAGGTGCAGAGTGCGGGCAGAGGCTAAAATACAATTAGAAATACATATATGTATATTTAATGCATTTAGTCATGGCTTAGATTTTTATAATATAAAATGTTTAAAAAAAGCAAACCTCCTCCTAGGAAAAGATCAGACTCCAGACATCAACAACCCCTTACAAGCTTTTCTTATGTGAGCAAATTCCAGTGCAAGTGCACAAGAGTTCTGCACTTCCAAAAAGGCACGAGCGCAGTCTCAATTCCAGCAAGAAGTTAGAGTAAACAGTTACACCTGAGACTAAACCGTGTAGCAAGTGCTGCTTTCTAACAATATATACATTTATTTTGGTTTTCAAGCATTTTGTTGACTCTCTTATTGCTGATTGTAACCAGGCTTCTTTTAATTGAATCTGCATGCAGGCACCTATGAAGATGCACCTTCACATGGTATTTGCTGCCTAAGGTTTATTAGTGGAAACTAAAGACAACATATATTTACTCTTTATGTGATCTAACACTGGACACACTCTCTCCCATGAGACTGGAAGTTAAACAAAGACCTCACGAATCCTAGGGTGGTGCAAGATTCTCATTTGCATTCAATTCTGCAGCAGATCTAAGGTGTTTGGAGACATTAGCTATGTAGATAGAAATTGGCTCACTCTGGCTGCTTCTAGTAGGCTCTTTCACTTAACATACCACTGTCCAGACCACAGACCTGGACACCAGGCTCACAGACAGAGGGTACCTGCTAGAGCCTGAAGGACCTGGCACATCCAGATGGCTGGTGACCTCAGTGTGCGGTTAGACCAGGGAGCACATCCCACTGGCAAACACTGAAAGGGTAAGGTAGAGGTAGCCTTGGCTTTGCACAAATGCCCCAAAAGCAGTACATTTCTGCAATGTGAACGTGGTTCTAACAGCAGAAGACAGGTTAAAATTAATGTAGAAGCACCGAATATAAGGTACATGTCTGAAGAATGAGGACATTCCCAGGTGTTAGGGTAGCCCTTTTAGCTCATCCCACTAGGCTCTCACCAGTACACTCACACAAGCTTGTGCTGTCAGCAGCAAACTTGCACTTTCCCAGCCCAGAACAGTGAGCTATATTTCTAATAGTCTGCATCTGTACAGAGAGCAGGGCAAGGTGAAGGTCTCATTTCCAAGGACACCATGCAGGCACAGTTCTTTACTGTCGCTCTCTAGGAACGGATGCTCTCGCTGATTCATTAAGCCCCCAATAAAATTTGTTTATATGGATTTGATATTTCTCTTCCCTGAATATAAAGAAGGTCCTTAACGAGTGATAACTGCAGCATGACAATGATTTTAAGACTAACCTTTCCCTAGAAGCATAAACTACCTTTTACTTCAAAGTAATTGCCAGCCTTAATTTTCAGCAGAGGTAACAAAACTAGCATTGACAATTCAGCATCCACCGTCTGTGCCAGGAACTGCAGGAGCCATCCATGCTCGTAGGTCAGCTTTGCGATGTCGCTGGGGCCTGTGGTGTCACTGGGGCAAGCCCTCTTCCAGCAGAAGACCCCTTATAAAGTGTTTCACATACTGGATGCACGCTGCCAGCCAACACATGTCATGAGCTGCCTTCTTGCTGCAACGGCTCAGCTAGTAAATCTTGAATCCTTCACTTCATCACAATGTTTGGGAGAAGATTTAGAGGAGTAAGAGAGACCTGTCAAAGAAGCTGGATGGTCTTTCAAAGCTGCCTTGGAAGTTGCAGTGGGCGAGGGGGTGGTAATTTACAGGTATGGCATTTAACCTGCAGTAACACTGTCCCCTGCACCTGGCATTACTTTAGCCCATCACTTCTCAAAGGCCATAAACTTTGGACACACAGGTCTTCATTTTTCTTGTAGCTGCGGGAAACACAAATCATGCAAAGCTGGAGCTGTGACCTGGCCAGTCCCGGAGGTGATGTGAATGTTAGCCAGGCAATGAATACATGGAGCAAGTGCCTTGGGAGGGGGGGAAAGGTCCAACGTAAGTGGGTCTGTTCCCCGCATCCCTCTCTCTGTGAGGATGCCAAGCACACAGCAAACATGCACCTTTCCATCAATTTTGTTTCCAAGTGACTCAAGCCAAGTAGTGGTTTATGGTTAGAGCTTAAGAAAAGAAGATCTGCTTACTGCGATACAATTTACAAATATTAAGGCACCTTGACTTCAGAATCCTGGTGTCCTTGCTCTCAAAACCTTTGTACTTAAGAAAATCCCTCTTAAGTCCGTAAGGAAAATAGTCCACAGACCTTTTGCTGAATCTAGGTCTATAATAGGAACCACTGTGTTCCCAACAGAAGGGAGGGTACAGAGGAAGAGTTTGGACGCTGTGTTATAATGACAGATACACACTGGGAAGATCTGATGCAGCATTTCAGTCAGAGAGGAGAGCATAGCAGAGAAGTTCATAGGTTAAAAAGAGGGGCAGGAGAAGGACAAATTTTCTTTTCTGATCAAACAAGGACTCCCAGGCCAGGGCATGAAGGAAGCTGCGATAAGGTGATCCAGTGCTCAGATTTTCACCAAATATGGATTTTGGTTTTTCTGGAACATGACCAAGTACAATCCATTGCAACACAGTAAAAAAACCTGATTGGGAAACTGTATGCTAAGCAAAGTAACCTCCGTGTACCCAGAAAAGACTCTGAATATAAGCTGTGCTATTAGTTTTAGGACTTCAGAGGCTGCTTTAAAAAGAAGGAAAACCAAAATCTACAAAATGAGTTACCAATGTGAATCAAAAGGTCCATAAAGCCCAGTACTGCCACTGCAAGCAAAAGAACACCAAAGAACAGGATGTAAAGCTTGCTCCAGCATCACCTGTGGAATGAACGGCCTGCCACCGGCATCCTAATGCCCTTTCATCTGCAGCAGGGATGGATTTTGAGACCAGTTCCAGCAGGCTGGGGTTTGGTGCCACAATTTCGACCTGACCCTCCTTGTCTAACTTCCTGGGGTTGCTTCCATGCACAAAGCCAGTGAAAACACCCATGCAGCTGTTCAAATATTTGACGTCTGAACTGCTTGACATTATTCATTCATCTCAGGCTCATTCAAACCAGATTTCTGGACAAGTGCGGTTATAAATGGATTAAGAGGACCACTAAATGCAAGGAAGGCCTGATAGGATCACACCTGCTTCTCGCTAACTCAGCCCAAGTGTAAAGAGGGATCACAACTTCCATCTCCTGCTGGCGGCATACGCTTCTATCCAGAAGCAAGGAAAACGTGAAATGGAGTGCAGAGGGTGTCGAGCAGAATAAAATGGCCTTTGCAAGGGCACTGTTTTGGACCTGCTAGAGGAGAATGGCAGGAGCTTCCAGAAGACCCCCTATCACTACACTCGTGCGATTTGCAATACAATAGCATGCACTGGGAAGAGGGAAGTGCTCCTCCAGCAAGGCTTGGCTTCTGAAGGTCACGCAGTAATTCACGGCTATCAGCAATGCTGCCTAGAGCAGACCTCTAAAGCCAGTGCCGCTATCCAGAGGTCATTGCTTAGGACCAGAACTTTATCCCAACGTGTTAATAAAGTGAAATCCAACAACTGAATGTTAAGTTGTGAGTTTGACCTAGGAATTCACAAGAGACGTGATCCGGTGGCTGTTATTCACAGGAGCAGCTGCGACTCTTACAAGGAGAGTCACCAAAGGCCTGAAGAACGTAATTCCACGTGTGAATTTGAAAATGCTACTTTCAGATGAAAAAAGAACCAAACCCAAACTCTCTTATATATTTCCCCTTCCTTGTTGAAGAATTTTTTGCTCTCTCTGCACATGTGATAGGAGGCAACCACTTGTCATACGGTGCCAGCCTCGATACAATTAGTATCCTGATGCTAAAGCAGCACAATCCTCTGACAGTCTTAATCCCAGCTGCCTCCTTAAGGTCCAGACAAACAGGAGTGAGCAGGCAGGTCAGACCCCGGGGCCATTAAGCAGAGAAAAAACAAAGTTACAGCTCTGTCTCCAATCCCCATTGCTCTTGTAGCCAGGTGCTCTGACAAGCAATTCCAGCACTGGTATTGAGTGGCACCTCTATAAACCCTGTGACAGTTTGGGAGACAAACTCCCCCATCAATCAGAATGTACCTATCAAGATCACTTACCTAGAGCGCCCTCCGCCCTCCAGCACTGTGTACACAGCTTTGCTTGGGCTGGCCTTGGAGTAGTCTGCCTGAGCACCAATTCAAGGCAGTTTCTGAAAAATTTAGGTACTCTTCACAAGCAACAGTGTTTCTGAAATAGGGATGCAGAGCTCAGAAAAGCAGAAAAAAAAAAATCACATGCCTCTTTGCTGTCGCCAGGCTGCAGGCACTGGCAGGCTACAGGAATCAGCTGAGCTTGAAGGAGACTGGAAGAGACTTCCCACATCTTCCATGTGCAGATTAATAATGGCTGGAGATAAAGCTCATCAGAAATCCTTTTCTTCCCCTTTCCTTAAGTTTTCAGAGCACTTTGTTTTTTTCCTGGCATCCCCTATGCCTAAGCATCCTCTCTGACCTCTGCACTGCTTCTCAAATCTCACTTCCTTTGTGCAATCCCCCGATGACCGGTCATCTCAACATCTCTCAAGTGA